CTTTTGAAAATATTTCATTTTTTGAAAGTTTTGGTGTGTTTGAAAGATGTTATTTTGAAAATAATTATGAGCAAGCAACTATGAACGTTCTACCTACTCAAAAAGTATTAGTTCTTTTCCTCCTCCTTTATATATTAGTATCTTATCATTGATTGATAAGAAGCCCCATCATTGGATGTGAAGGGATTGGTGTGGGTCGTCGTATAGTCATAGATGGTAACCTATGAGATGCTTTAGTAATTTTTGTAAGCAACTAAGATCATTTTACTGAAGGCAGCATCAAAGGGTCATCGAGGGACTACGATCTTTTTTATCGAGGGTCTTTGCTAAAGCATCCCACATTAGAGAGACATGACTATTTTATTCGTAAAGCAACAAGTGAGGTTAATCCAAGAGGTGTAAGTGTGAAGTGTATTAATTTAATGCATTTTTTGTCTTTGAGATTAGGGTTTTCTAGCGATTGATTTTATCTTTCCATACAAACCCTAATTACTAGCAATAATAATGAAAGCGATAAATTGTGGAAATTAAATGTCCTACGCTATTGCAATACTTTAGCAGATGGGGGATAAAAATTTACAAATGGGGAGTGAAAGCAATTAAAACCTAATTACTATTACAACCATATTGAATATTTAATAACAATAAAAATATAAATAAATATAAAGATGATGTAAAAAAAAGGAAAATTGTTTTAAAAAAACTATTATGTATTGATACGTGCACTTATGCATTGATACAAAAACTTTTATGCATTGACACATGCACTTATGCATCAATACATCTCACTTCCTGCCCTTGGAAATCAAAACCAAACCAGTATGTATTGATACATAATGGTTTGCATCGGCTCATATCTGTTTTGCATCGAGACATGCACTTATGCATCGATACATATTATTTCTTGCTCCTGGAAATCAAAATCAACTTAGTATGTATCGATACTTGATAGTTTGTATCGACTCATTTCTGTTGTGCATCGACTCATTCATGTTTTGTATCAACTCATACACATTTTTTCTTTCTGTAATGTGTCTTGATAACAATATGTATTGATGCATAATGGTTTGCATCGGCTCATAACCTATTTTATACCTAATATGAGTCGACTCATAGAGATATGCATCGACTCATACTACTGTTTTTTCTTTCTAACACTTTTCTATTACATATACAAGTCAGTTCACAAACAAGGTTAATGAAAATGAAAAGTAAGCATATGGTTAGCTTCCGGGAAATGATATCTACATTTTATCTTCACAAACGAACCATTAATGTTATTTATATGAAGAGTTCAAAGTCAAGAAAACTTACCTTGAAACAGAAATTCGTGTTTTGATTTAGAGTTGTTGTATTGTCTTGGAGAAGTCAAGTGGTTGTTTATGAGTTTGGAGAATGGTGATAGTGATGTTACAGAAGTTGCTCTTGTGTTTGATCAACTTCTATACGATGTATATGAAGTATTTGGATGGTTTGTTTGGACATGATTTGCAAGGTTTGAGAGATTTGACGATTTTGGTTTCAAAGCTCTGAAATGGAGGTTTTTGTGGACAATTCTGGTTTTTAGAGTATAATGGGGGGTTTGAGGATTTTTCAAAACACAAGAATATGGCCTCTTTAGCTTGTAAATTACCTCCCCTTCGTGTGTTGTGAAACAACTTATTTGTAGATGAAATTGATTGAAATTTGGGAGGGAAATAGATATGTTTTTGAACTGTTTGGGTACACTGTTTCATTGATTTTTAGATGCAGATCTTATTTGCTAAGTTTGTGCAAATATGAGACTGATATGATGCAGATTTTGCAGGACAACATTGTAGGTTTTGGAGTAGGTTTTTACAGTTTTCTTGGCATTACTATGCAGGTTTTGGACAGCAGGATATGTAGCATGGTGCAGATCTGGTATTGTGGACAAATTTATGCAACTTGTAACAAAGACAAGGCATATTTGTGGACAACGTAGTGGCAAAGTTTGAAGATTGAGCCAAAGGGAAAAGTTCAAACAAGACAAAGATTAGCATTTGTAACTTTCAATTATTAACTTAAAAATGCATCCTTGTTGTTTACTTGAAAACTTGTAACAACTTGAATTATCTTGAATTATGGTGAAAAGATGTCATGAAGTAATGGAATTAACATGTATAAAAAACACTTAGAAAAATTTCTAAGTCTTGCAAAGTTTTACTTTTCAAAATGACTTTTGAATTTCTTGATTTCTTGATGGTCAAATTTCACATTTTAAATGTCTTGATGAAATGTGATCTTTGAAACTCAAATTTGATCAAAAAGTTAAAGTTTGACTTTTCAGTATACAGTTGAATTTTTTCATCAGTTGCCCAAATTTCATCTATCAATCCAATGATATCGGGAGATGAATTAAAATATGCGATTAGGTCAAAATGATGTACTTGAATTCTTGAGATCATGTTTCAAACCAATAAGTCATGTACTAGGTAAAAAGTCAAATATTGGTCATTCTCAGTCAAAAATCCTAATTTTGACAATTCTTTCCTTTTGATGATTTGAATAATTTTCTTGGAGAATTGTGATCCAATCTTGATCAAATGATACATATGACTTTAAAATGTTGATATTGTTCGAAAATATTGAAGTTTAACTGTAGGTTAACCATAATTGACCTTTTTTTCCCAACATAACTGATTTTAGGCCATCTGATCAATTGACTAAACAATTTTGTGATCCAAGACTTGAAACTTGACAGGAGAAATCTTGAGGGTCCATAATGATCCATTAAAGTCATTTCAAATATTAGAAGTCCAACTGTCTTTATTCAAACTAAAACCTAATTTGAGGCATTAGTGTTGATAAGATGGCTTAACCTAGTCAATACTTGTGCAAGCTTGAATCCTTGAATATCTTTGTGGGAAATATCTTGAGAAAGCAGAGGGAAAATTTTGGGGTACACCAATATTTAATCATCTTCTACCTTGAACATCCGAGAGGCATGTGCCAAACGTGCATTCAGGTTTAAGACGATTAAATAGGGGCAACTATAATACCGCAAATTCGTCCTACCTTTTCATTTTTGTCATTTGGCTTATGCGTCTCTTCATCATCATGTACATACCTCCCATTAGGTTATCTAACACATCATGCATCATTAATCAATCAAATTGGCATTGGGATCAAGGTCTCAATTGTACACTAGGGTTTCTCTATCTTTTGCAGGACTATTTCACTTAAAGGTTTAAGGGTCATGGGCTATGGTTTGTCCCTTATACTCAAGGTCATCAAATGAACTCAAAGAATTGAAATCCATCTTCTTATACATGTTATCTCCACGTGATTTAGGATTCCCTAATCATGTAGACATCAAGGAAAGCTTTTCATACAAATCTATTTATAAAAAAAACATCATAATCTCAAGGGGGTTTCATCATGGTTAAAGTGAAATTTATTTAAGATGTCTAGATGCTGTCATGGCAAACTAGGGTTCGGTCCCAGGACTATCCCGGGTAGAATTCTCTCGAAATTTCAAGTATGAATCTCATCCAAGGAATTCTCCTAACCTCTTAGTTTACACAAACCAGTATTATATGGTTTGCTTCAAAAGGATTCAAGGGTAGGAAGGAGTGAAGCTACCGGCAAAAAACACAGAGCCACCACCAAACTTTTTTTATTCCGAAGGAAGGGGAAATATCGATAAAACCATGAGAGGATGTATAAGATGGTCTTGCAACCAAAAGAGAGCGTAAGAAAGTCGATTATTCAAAGGGGGAGGTATTAGCACCCCTCGCATCCGTTGTACTAAACGGGATCCATTTTGATTGTTTGCTTATAAGGGTGTGTCTATCTATAAGTATATTTTCTAAGGGGAAAAGAAATGGTTTTCTATTAGTGCGTTCGTGAGGGTCTCGCAAACCTATACCTATGTATCCCATGAAGGAATTAGAACACCATAATTCTTCTATAAAATGTTGGTTTGTTGGTGTTTTTTAGTGGGCAATGTTAACACACACATTCTAGCAATAGGCATGTCCGGTATCACGGTAGAACAGAGAAAACATGCCCTTTTGGGGAGATCTTGGAGTTTTTTAGTGTTTTATTAAGTGCAAAATGAGTTTGAGTAATGATTAAGTGTTTTGTATTTTTTGGTAAAGGAGAGAAAGTTTTAGTTTTAATTACAAAAGAAGAAAGAGTCTAAGAGGGAGACTAGAAAAACCCTAATTGTTATCATGTACAAAGATGAACCTAACATTGAGTGTAAAAGGGGAATTATATCCTAAAGTTGTCATGCATAGGTTCTAGTATATGGTCTAATTCGACGCAAAACAACTAATCGTTTCTTAGAATCTCTTAAGGGAATATGGCATCAAGAATCGACCAAATAAGGAAATAAAATCTAATATTTTTTCTTAACTTAATAAAAATATTGAAAGCAAGAGAAGAAAATAAATATTTAATATTTAATCATTTATTAAAATAAGAGGATAAAATAAATAAATAATAATAAGCTTTAATAGAAAAAAACAAAAACAAACGAAATGAAAAAGAAATTGAAAAAATGGTCCTTGTGAGTGTTGAACCCAGGACCATTAGTTTGCACACACAAAGCCTTGACCACTGCACCACTTCACTTCATTCATTTATTATACAACTCAAAAACTATAATAGTCAAAGCTTATGAAATGGGTTGGGCTAGGCCCAAACCCGGACCCATCTAATAAGAAATAAAGAGGGTTTTATTTTGGAACCCTAAATTTGAAAGGGTGCGCCACTACATCTCTTTGGGAAGAGGGAAATATTCAATTTAATTTTTTTAATTTCTCCAGAAAACATGGTTAAAACGAAATACATTTCCCTCTTGTCTCTCAAATCCCCAAGCTGTCTCATACGACCCTCTCCTCTTATCTCTCCATCGTTCAATTTTCCATTTCCCATGATAAAATTTCTTTCCACTCTCTCGCGATCTATGTATTGAATCAACCTTGGTCTCTCTTCCCTCTGTGTCAAACTAAGTAACAACACCAACAACCAAAATGCCTCAGTTTCTCTTATCGCAATCAAGATACACAAATTTATTTACAGATATAGAGCTTCAAGAGATACATATCGGAAACCTTATGATGAAGCTCCCGCGAGGTGAGTGTAAGGAAATCCAGGCTTCTGGTTTCTCTTCTTTTTTTTCACATTCTGGTTCAGAATTATGGGAAATCGAATGGTTGTCGGATGATGGATCGATTGAGAGTTGGAGGTTTATAGAACTCGTGTTGTTCTAAGCGTTCGTGTATGAATATTTGTTTATTTGGATGAGGATGTTGTGATCTTCTGTAGGTTTATGGACGACGAAATTGAAATTGCAGCAAGGAGGTTAAGGATCGGTTCTGAATTAGTGAGTAGTTTAATGGAATTACGTAGATCCATCGAGGAAGATTATGAGGTGGTGATGTAAGTAGTGAGATTTTAGAGGATGATTTTATTGAAATCAGGGTGCTACACTAATCAGGGTATTATACTAAATGACCAAAATTCACAATTATACAGACAAACAAAAGTGCTCAGAAAATCAAGCTAGGCTTATATGTTGGCAGAAAAGAAAATGCAGAGTAATTTAGAGAGTACCTGCCCCGAACATTCTCGGAGGTGGCAATCCAAAGGTAAGCTCAACCCTCTCTTGTTCCACTTCTTGCAACCTTCTTCCTTTCTTTCTCTCTTTCTCCTTATTTTTTCAATATTTCTAGTGAAAATTCTTGGTGGTCTATGTTGAATTATGGGATTTTTGCAGGCTTGTCATGAGTTTGTGTTTTTGACAGATAAATCGATTATGTGGAATAAAGGTGGAAGTTAAAATGTGAATGAGGGTTTGTAGAAGGATTTATGGGAAGAGAAATTGATTCAGAGGAGTTATTTAGGTGACTTCTCGGTCTGTTTAGAAAGAAGACTGAGCAGAGTTTTGAGAGAGTGATTTTGAAGGTGATGAAACAATGGTTTTTTTCTACTGTCTTTCTTGTATCCCCCTCTCTAATTCCTTGTTGTATTTATAGGTGGCTTTGAGGGAGTTTTGGGGGGAAATAACCCAAGAATTTGGACATTTTTGACATGCTGATTTTATAGCTTTTGTGACGCAGGTTTTGATTTGTGTTATCTATGTACAATGTTGACAGGTTTTGGAGGCGAGTGGACAGTTTTTGACAGTAAGAAACACAAGTTATGCATGGCTGTTTATGCAGATTTTTTGGACTATTTTGTTTGTTTTGCAATGTGATGTAAGTTTTGATATGGAGCAGTATTGCAGAATGTTTTTGACATGGTTTTGGGCTAGTAGTAGCAGGCTTGGACTTGGTAGCATATCAAATTTTGGATTTTTTCTTGACAACATCATTTTGGGACATCAAGTTTTATCAATTGGCCACTTAGAAACATATCATCTTGTAGCTTTAATTTCCCTTTTGTTATAACTTGAAAATTTGTAGAAACTTGAATTATCTTGACTTGTAATGCAACTAAGAAAAAGTATTACACTTTGTTTTTGCAACTTTTAAGAAGTAATGTGGATTTATTTCATGGAACCTTAATGCTTTAATATATGTAAGAACTTTCATGTTGAAAAGTCTTGGATTTGAATAATGATGTACTTGAAAATAGATGAATAACCATGAACTTTGAATTAGGTTTGTCAGCTTGATCTGGTTCATGAGAATTGTAACTTAGGGAACCCATGAATCAAAGCACAACTTTATCGTGTTTTAATTCCAATGAGGCTCGAATATTGCAAGCTTGAATGAATTTGAGCAAATTTAAGTGAATGTCTTTGAAACCTTGAATTCAAAATAATTCACGTGAATGAACCATAAAGAAATTTGACGAAACTTGTGATATTGCGTAATGCTTTGCTAACTTTAAATGAAATCAAATATATTATCCAAATGAATACTCAAATCATTTTCACCAAGATCCTAAATCAATTTCCAACATGGTGACTTGTATTATAAGCAACATCTTATTCTAAGTCAACATGAATCTTAACATGAATCTTCGAACTCAACATCTTGTTCCATGAACGATCTCAACATGAGAATCATAGTCCTGAGAAAACAATTATGGCATGAATTGAAATTAGAAGTTAAGAACATTCAAAATCAAGAAAATGACCTATGACGATTCGATAACTTTCAAGGTCTTCTAAACACAGTTTTCTCTCAATCCTTGAACTAAACCTATAGATGACATCATCCGTGACAGTGTACAGAAAGAATCGACTCAAAATGTCAAGAATAGAAGAAGTTATGATTCTTGGAAGTTGGGCACAACCATTTTGAAAATAGGGAAAATTCCACAGAATGACCTATAAAGTATTCGAACTTTTGATGATCCTCCACACATAATCAACTCTTGACTTGTAAAGAGAAGTTGGAGATGACATCAAGAAGAGTCAAGCCCAAAAAGAACCACTCACAAATATTGAATAATGAAGAAGTTACAATCATTTTAACTTGATCTTGAAAATGTTGACTTTTGGTCAAAGTGCTTTGAACTGACATGCAAATATGATCTTTCCTTGCATTCCAAGGAATATTGATGCCCATGTGAACCGGTGATGATGAAGTCTTGACTGTTCTCTTGATATTATAGGACAAGCTTTCATGAAGTAGCCTTTTAGAATCAATAATTATCCATACTGAACACTTGAAAGGTTTAAACCCTAGCTGAGGCATGATGCCAACAAACCCTGATTTTTAATCACACAGGGGAAATAAACCCTAATCCAAGATCTTGATGAATTTGAATGAGAAACAACTTTGTTCATGGATGAATAAGAAACTTGTGATAACCGTACTTCAAAACCCTTATTCACATAGTCCACTGCTCAAGAGAAGAACCAGGGAAATCAACTTTACTGAGTGTAAAAGCCTCAAATCAATAGTAACCCTAATTAGCATAACCTCTGATTGTGAAACCCTGCTTTATTGAAAGGAGGGAGTGATATGTGAATGACCTAATGAGAATGATGCAAATGAAATGCAAAGCCTAAGCCAGATAAGAGCAAAATAGGTAGGACAAATTTGGGGTATGACAACTGCCCCTATTTAATCGTCTTACACCTGAAAGTGGGATTGACGGCAGCCTTTTGATCATTTAAGGTAGAAGAAGATTAAATACCAAGACCTGAAATTTTTCCTGGAGAGATGGTGTAAGTGTTATTATTTGTGATGTCTGTTTAGGATAGAAAAATGAATTTTCTCGTGAACTGGTCATGATGGATAAATGTGCTTGAGTAATGATAGCTTGTAGCAGAGTAATGGTGCCAATACAAGGTTCTTAGGGAAATGGGTGTTAAAGTGATTGAAAAGATATGGTTTATGATGATGTGGTAACTGAAAGTAGGATTAATGAAAACATGATAACTTAAAGACAATGGGTAAACTCGACGACATAGGAGAATCTATCGTGTAGGTTTCAAGACCCAAAAAGAAAGGTAAAGGAAACGGGTAAAGATTGGCGTATGATCTATGACCCAAGAGAAAGGTAAAGATGATGGGTAAAATCGAAGACAGCAAATGATCTATCTGGTAGGATTCACGACCCAAAAATAAAGGTAAATAGAATGGGAAAAGATCAGTGTATGATCCATGACACACGAGAAAGGTAAAGATGACGAGTAAAATCTATAGACAACCTACGACCCAAGAAAAGATAACATGAGGGTAAGATCTACGAACGAACTATGACCCAGGAAAAGATAACATCAGGGTAAGACCTGCAAGTGACCTACGACCCTAGGAAAGACAACGTGAGGGCAATATCTACGAGCGACCTACGACCCTATAAAAGATAACGTGATGGTAAGGCCTGCGAGCGACCTACGACCCTAGAAAAGACAACGTGAGGGAAAGACCTACGACCCTAGAAAGGATAACGTGAGGGTAAGATCTATGGATGACCTACAACCCAAGAAAAGATAACATGGGGGTAGACATGCGAGATACCTACAACCCTAAAAAAGATAACATGTGGGTAAGATCTACGAGTGACCTACGACCCTAGAAAAGATAACGTGACGGTAAGACTTACGAGCGACCTACGACCCTAGAAAGGATAACACAAGGGTAGGATCTATGGATGACCTACGACCCAAGAAAAGATAACACGAGGGTAAGACTTGCTAGCGACTTACGACCCTAAAAAAGATAACATGAGGTAAGACCTACGAGGGACCTACGACCCTAGAAAGATAACATGAGGGTAGGATCTACGGGCGACCTACGACCCTAGAAAAGATAACGTGAGGGTAAGATCTACGGACGACCTACGACCCTAGAAAAGATAACATGAGGGTAAGACCTGCGAGCGACCTACGACCCTAGAAAAGATAACATTAGGGTAAGACCTACGAGCGACCTACGACCCTAGAAATGATAATGTGAGGGTAAGACCCGCGAGCAACCTATGAACCTAGAAAAGATAACATGGGGGTAAGACCTGCGAGCGACCTACGACCCTAGAAAAGATAACATGAGGGTAAGACCTACGACCCTTGAAAAGATAACGTGAGGGTAAGATCTAAGGACGAACTACGACCCTAGAACATATAACAAACAGTACTGAGAGTTGGGGAGTACAATGTATTGACACCATGGCTTATTTTGGTTGGTAGTGTAATGATGGACGTCAGCTAGGAATTATGAAGATGATATTATTTGTAGGGAATGTTTTGTTGTTTTGAGGATTTGGGGCTTTCGTGCAAGGTACCGAATCTGGCTTATGCTTCGTATGCATTTTGAAGTGAATGGCATAATGATCTCTTTCGATGGATATGCTATGCGTTTGAAGATGCAATGTAATATGAAATGATGATTAATACATGCAAAGTGCAAGCGATTGGGCTCATTGGGGTCCGTTTCTCGTTATCTTTGAGATGTCAATACGGATTAGTGCTTGAAAACTTCGAGAATTGAGTTATAACCTTATTGAGGATTGCAGTCTTGGTGAGGAGGATTGGCTTGATCTGAATTTCCCTACATGCTGTAATTCTTGTGAATGACTGAGTAGAGACATTGATCTCATAAAATGCCCCAAGTTTCTCTGTGTTGGAGAATCAGATGTTCAACCGTCTGTAAGGAGGTGACGATGACGAAGGCTTGGTCGATGTGACTGTTACGAGTTGCTACCTGAATAGAAAAATGACATTTGAATGCTATGGAATTCCATTGGGATGCCTTCATGTCCATGTAACGTCGTGTTTCACATCTTAGCTTATGATTGCCTTATTATTTTCAATGAAATGCTTAATAAAGAATTTAAATCACGGTTCGCATATGAAAAATAAAGTAAAAAGGACATAACAAAGACTTTTTGGTGGAAGGGAAAATTTTTATTAATGAGATTAGCCTGTGAATAGGAATTCGTACATGGAAATAACACCTAAATGAGGAAGTTGTGAAGAAAAGACAA